CAACCGTCCGCAACCGTCCGCAACCGTCCGCAACCGTCCGCAACCGTTCGCAACCGTTCGCAACCGTTCGCAACCGTTCGCAGTAGGACGCTAAGGCGCTGCCATTGGGGGAAGCTTTTGCAGGTGACTTTTCATGGATGTGTCACGTGTCAGTTTGCGACGCTATTCCATTGTGATTTGCATGAAAATGACATGTCGCGCAAGAAGCGTGATGCATTTCGCTGCACAGGCGCAGTGGTTTGAGAGATCCGCAGTGTACTGCGCAGTTCCATTGGGATTAGCGTTTGGAGAGTCGTGTTTTTGGGGTGTTGGATGTGGCCGTGCCATTGGGATTTGCATTTCAGGGTGTGGCATCGAAGCTCTGTTTTCGTGACAAGTCTCAGCTGAAATGGCGATTTTGGTGGATGGGAGTGTGCTCAGAACGGGTCGAAATCATTCTAAACGTGTGGTGTGGTGCAAATTTTGTTGAAGCTCATGTGAGATGATATTCTCACTTTTCGTGGCAGGCACAGTACTTTGTGCTGATTTTGAGGCATGGAAGTGTGATTTTCGTGGCAGGCGCAGGGAATCGTGAGGTTGCGAGGTGTGACGGAGGTGACATTGCGTGGCAGGCGCAGTACTTTGTGCGCGTTAGACGTGTGGATGCGGAAAGATGCGTGGCAGGCGCAGGGAATCGTGAGGTTGTGAGTTGTGGTAGAGGTGACTGTCTTTGTCTCATTGGGATTGGCGTGTGAGCGGGTGTTGTTTGGAGGGGCTGGAATCGCGAAACTGCTTGGCAGGGCTGCGTGATGTGTGTGCTCCGATGGGTGTTTCCGCTTGACTTTTGGAGGAAGTCTCGTACGAAACGCTCGTTTTGGAGACTTTGACACTAAAGTTTTTGAGGAAGTCTCGTACGAAACGCTCGTTTTGGAGAGTTGACACGTGACTTTTGGAGGAAGTCTCGTACGAAACGCTCGTTTTGGAGACTTGACGTGTGACTTTTGGAGGAGGTCTCGTACGAAACGCTCCGTTTTGGAGACTTGACGCGTGACTTTAGGAGGAAGTCTCGTACGAAACGCTCGTCTTGCAGCCTCGAACAGTGACTTTTGGAGGAAGTCTCGTACGAAACGCTCGCGTGACTGCTTCTAGTGTGTGGGCAGACCGTGTCGCGACACGAGTGTCCCACAAGAGTGTCCCACAAGAGTGTTCCACAAGAGTGTCCCGCAACCGTGTCCCACAAGAGTGTCTCACAAGAGTGTCCCTTAAGAGTGTCCCACAAGAGTGTCCTATAAGAGTGCCCCACAAGAGTGTCCCACAGGAGTGTCCCACAAGAGTTTCCTACAAGAGTGTCACACAAGAGTGTCCCACAAGAGTGTCCCACAAGAGTGTCCTACAAGAGTGTCCTGTAAGAGTGACCCACAAGAGTGTCCTACAAGAGTGTGTCACAAGACTGTCCCACAAGAATGTCCGACAAGAGTGTCCCATAAGAGTGACCCACAAGAGTGCTTTTGAGAGTGTCCCACAAAGAGTGTCCTACAAGAGTGTCATGTAAGAGTGACCCACAAGAGTGTCCTACAAGAGTGTCTCGCAAGAGAGTGTCCCATAAGAGTGACACACAAGAGTGCCCCACAAGAGTGTCCCACAAGAGTGTCCCACCAGAGTGCCCCGTAAGAGTGGCCCACAAGAGTGTCCTACAAGAGTGTCTCACAAGAGTGTCCTACAAGAGTGTCCCGCAAGAGTGTCCTACAAGAGTGTCCCAAAGCAGTCCCCCCCAAGAGTTTCCTACAAGAGTGTCCTACAAGAGTGTCCCACAAGAGTGTCCCA